AATGTGCAAGCCAGAGTCCATACATGTCATTGCTGTGTCATCCTGTTTTTTCAGTGTTGGAGTAGCCTTGCCAGGTTTTAATTTTTAAATCTCAGAAACTGTTCCCAATATATAGGGTAGGGTCCCTAGGCTTGGCCAGCGATCAGAGCCAATCTGTGGGGTGACCGGTGGGCGGGGCAACTGGGGGGCCCCTGCTGGCACCCACCTTGGTTGGTGGCCTGGTGCTGCCTACTGGCCGGCCCCACCCCCCAATCGCTGCTGCTGGTTCCCTCCCTCTCAGGGGTCAGTGCGCATCATAACAACCATGGTTCCACCAGTCGGTCAATTTGCATATTAGGGCTTTATTATATAGGATTAACTCAAGGGCCTGCAGAGGCTCCAGGGTCATCAAACAAACTATTCTTACTCTAAAAGTTTGTCCCTTCAGAATGCCACTGACTCAAATGGAATTTGCTGGCAGGAAAAAAGCACTTTTCCCCGGAAGTAGCACTTTCCCTGAAACCTGCATTAACTACATCCTCCCATAAAAAAACAACATTATTCACAATAGCTAAAGCCCATGTGTCCACTGATGGCTGAATGGATAAACAAAATACAATATATACATATAATGGGATATAATCCAGCCTTTAAAGAGGAAGAAAACTCTGACATCCTACAGCATCGATGAGCCCTGATGACATTATAAGTGAAATAAGTCGGACACATAAGGACAATACTGTATGAGTCCACTTATCTGAGGGACTTAGAGCAGTCAAACTCATACAGACAGAAAGTGGAGGGTGCCTGCCAGAGGCTGGGGGGAAGAGGGGACGAGCAGTTATTATTTAATGGGTACTTAACGAATTTCAGTTTGAGAAGATGCAGTAAGTTCTGGAAATGCATCGTGGTGATGATAGTACAACATTGTGAGTGTACTTAATGCCAATGAACTACACAGTTAAAAATGGTTAAAATGATGAATTTTATGTTACACCTATTTTACCACAATTTTAAAAATAGGAAAGATATTCGGTCCCTCCACGGGGCCTTGTACGCTGGTTCCTGGAGTCTGGGCCATGCCTCGCCTCCCCCCTCCCCTGGCTCTTGCCCTCAGCCTGCCCTGGCTCATGTCCCCATTATTAATGTGTCCCACCTCCAGGGCACTCACCAGGCCGCAGGTTCACGGCGATCTCCTGTGGCGTCATCTGAATGACATCTGAGCCCGCGTAGCTGGAGCCCTTGCTGCTGAGAGGCAGGCTCCGCAGAACCTGGGTGACGCTGGCCGGGCTCTCAAACTCCCCTCCGCAGCCGTTTCTGACCAGGTTTGCCTTCAAGTCACACCGGGAGGTGACCGACCGTAGGCTGCCGAAGTTCTAGGCAAAGAAACAGGAGGAGAGCGGGAGGCAGTCAGGGTGTCTCTCCAGAACACCGCAGGCTGTAGGACCATCACCAGCTGGTTGACCTTGAACCCTCTACATTCCACCTTCATCCTCTAAAAATGGAGAAATGATCATCCGTGTCCCAAATGCCTCACCAGGTATTAAGAGGATTGAGGGACTGGATATGAAAGCATTTTGTAAACTGTAAATACATAATACAAATGTTTGGTTTTGTGGTTATTTTAATGGTCAAAAGGCTCCTTAAAAAAATACGCCAGGCTACATGATGAACAGGAGAGAGTCACTGAAATGGTCAAAAGTTGTATAACTATAATTTTCTGAAAGATAGAAGTGTCCAAGGTGGTCATCACTCAGGCAACCAAGAGTTAACCTCTGAGCTGTCCACTCATCAATCCCATCTATTCCGCAGCACTGGACATTGCACAACATGGAGAGAGCAATGTCGCAATATATGTTGTATCCTCTGGCCTGGAGGTCCTCTCCTAGGAATTTACCACAGGAAATTCAAGAGGAAGGGGAAACTATCAGATATGTACTGCTGTCATTTAGAACAGCATACTCTCATTACTGTGTAAACCTAAATCCCTGAACCATAAGAAAAAGGGGGTATATCAACTCAATAGATGACAGTCATGATCAATGATTATGAAGACTAAGTAGAAATTGCAAAACGTTCATACTAGTAAAAAGATCAGAAAATATCGTTGTATCTGCACTAGGATTCAAAAGAAAAACTTTAAAATAAGGATAGTTGAGGTATTAGGATAAACTACCCTTATTGTCCTTTATTGCTATTTGGACAATAAAGCCACATTGATGAGAAAAATATTTCTTAAGATGAACTGAGGAGGGGGTGGGGCATCAGGGCAGCCCAACCCAAGGTGGGCACCAAGTGTTTGGGCTGTTAACTTTAGCATGAAATGATATACTTTGTTTTAATATATGGTGATAATAAGTATGGATCATTTTCCAGTAATGAAGTTTTTATTTTATTTTTTTAAAATATATTTTTATTGATTTCAGAAAGGAAAGAAGAGGGAGAGAGAGATAGAAACATCAATGATGAGAGAGAATCATTGCTTGGCTGCCTCCTGCACACCCCCCACTGGGGATGGAGCCAGCAACCCAGGCATATGCCCTTGACCAGAACTGAACCTTGGAACACTCAGTCCGCAGGCCAACGCTCTACCCACTGAGCCAAACTGGCTAGGGCTCCAGTAATGACATATGCCCTCCAGAACTGAACCTTGGAACACTCAGTCCGCAGGCCAACGCTCTACCCACTGAGCCAAACTGGCTAGGGCTCCAGTAATGAAGTTTTTAAATGGCAAAGCAAACCCAGGGTTCTTGCTGACCGCCCTTTTGCGGACCGACATGAGAACTAAGGTCACCTCCCGCTGGCTGGCTGCAGGGCTGCACTGGGCCACCCTGTAAAGGCTGGAGAGTCAGGCCCCTGGTCTGCCTTCCGCCTCGGGAGCTCTGACGCCTGGGGAGCTCTGATGGAAGCCTGGGTGGGTGGAGTGTCCCTTGCCTGCTGTGTTGGGAGCCAGACTGCTGGCAGAGGCACCGCCATCCTGGTCAAGGATGCCCTGAGGCTAGTCTATGTCTGTGAGTCTTTGCGAAATTCAAGACCAAGAAGAAAGACTGAGTATTTTTTAAATAAGTAAAACCAGATGTGATGTTCTGGGCTTCTGAGCTTTTTTGTTTTGTGTGTGTGTGTGTGGATTCAAGACCAAGGAGAAAGACTGTGTAGTATTTTTTAAATAAGTAAAACCAGATGTGTTGTTCAGGGCTTCTGAGCTTTTTTGTTTTGTGTGTGTGTGTGTGTGTGTGTGAGATTATAAGTGGATTTTTTTTATTTTCTGTATCGAACCCTTGGAGATCTTGCCTATGAAAACCTCAGGGACTGCACCATAAGTGTAACTGACTCCACAGCCCCTTGTGGAACACGGTGAGAAACATGAGTATTCTAGGTTAAAATGATTATCCTTTAAATTTTATAACATTCCAAAGCGAGGGTTTCCAAACCTGGGTTCCAGTGGGCAGGTTTGACTCTGATGTAACAATTCTAATGAAGCAGTACAGCAGCCCAGGGCCAGGGGAAGGGGAGTCAGCCTCGGAGGGCCCTGCAGCGACAGGTCTGCCTCTGGTGCTGCCCGAAGCAGAGGTCTAACCAGCTGCCCAGAGCGGGAAGGCCTGCCTGCTCAGAGCTTGCTCGGCTAGTCACCAACCGGTGGTCCGTGAGGTCCGAAAGGTTGGCGACCGCTGGGCTAGTTTCTGAACTCCTGGCTGACACACGGGGCCTGGCTGCCGGCTCCTCCAATGCTGAGGAGCTGGTTATCCTTGGCCCAGTTCTGATTGTCAAGGTGCACCTGCCTCGACCAGTGCCATGAAGATCCCTGCCACCAGGTTGGCAAGGAAAGCATCTTCAGTCTCCCCAGAGTGACAGGCACCCCCGATGTCCCTCCCAGGTCCTCAGCAGCTTGCACTGTGGAACAGACGAGGCCACAGAGCCGATCTGCTTCACTCTGAGTGGGAGGCAGCTGCGTGACTCCTCACCCACAGCCTCAGCCGTTCGCTTTCAGGCTGGTCATCGAGATCGTCCCCTTTGGCCTGGACCTTCCCAGCCAGCCTGCTCAAAGGGCTTTCGACAGACACTACCGGCCCTTGATGTAGGGCTTGCCCAAGACCGCCTGCTGGCCAGGAAGATGGACCTGCCGGCGTCACCAGGAGACTCAAAGTCCAGGGCAGACCGCCCACACCTGAAGATCTCAGAGGCAGCCACACCCGTGCCAATTACAACCTTATCTGTGTAGCTGGCTTTTCCAGCTGCACTCTGGGGCCTCTTTATTCTCTAGGACAGCGGTTCTCAAACTGTGGGTCGAGACCCCTTTGGCAGTCGAACGACCCTTTCACAGGGGTCGCCTAAGACCATCCTGCATATCAGATATTTACATTACGATTCCTAACAGTAGCAACATTACAGTTATGAAGTAGCAACGAAAATAATTTTATGGTTGGGTCACAACATGAGGAACTGTATTTAAAGGGCCAGAAGGTTGACAACCACTGCTCTAGGATGTTGGGAGCAAAGCCCTCTTCATTCCCTCATTGCTAGCATTTCCCCTCTTTCTCCTTCATATCTTTCTTCAAGGCTGTGGTAAAGCCTCGCCTCCGATGTGCATGGCTTCCCCAAAGTTTGCTGCCAGCACGGAGGACTGTGAACTCCTGCCTCGTTGCCTGGTTCCCGGCGTGAGAAGTACCACTGGCCACATTCAATCTGCAACTTGCAGGATGACTTCAGAAGTGCCGACCACGGCAGCCACGGGACAGCCCAGGCAGCCCCGTGCCAGCAGCTCCAGCTTTAGGACAGTAAGGGACATCTCTACGGCGTCCAAGTTAGAGTTAGTCTCAATGCCGTTCACCTCTACCATCAGTTTGTCAAAACCCTATTTCACAAAGCTCAGTGTTTTGCTCCTTGGGGCAGGCCCAGTGGTTTTATTGATGTGCTCAACAGCCTTTGAGACAGCCTTACCTACATATCAAACCTTGTCATTGTTCCAGAGCTTTAGGGCCTCAAAGACACCAGCTGAGGCACCTCTGGGCATGGCAGGTCTGAGGAACCGTGTGAGAGTAAGGCAGCGACCTCAACAGCGGGGTTCCCACCGTAGTTGAAGGTCCCTATGCCATGGAGTCTGATTTCTAGCCATAGGTTCTCACTGCCTGAGAAAAGCACAGAGGGTGCGGCCGGCCCCAGACAGTGTTCACCCCACAAGCCCAATAACTTCTCTCTTCTCCTAAGCCAGTGATGGCGAACCTATGACACGCGTGTCAGAGGTGACACGCGAACTCATTTTTTTGGTTGATTTTTCTTTGTTAAATGGCATTTAAATATATAAAATAAATATCAAAAATATAAATCTTTGTTTTACTATGGTTGCAAATATCAAAAAATTTCTATATGTGACACGGCACCAGAGTTAAGTTAGGGTTTTTCAAAATGCTGGCACGCCGAGCTCAAAAGGTTCGCCATCGCTGTCCTAAGCTCCTTTCTAGGTAATTTTAGGGCGCAGGCATCTTTAAAGAGAAGAAACCAAAACCACCGAGGCCAGGGGCATATACTGTGACGGTTATGACTTTTCCGATACACAAACATTACAACGACAATGTCTCAACACCTGCAATGCCAAGCTCCCAATTCAATGAGAGCAGATGCCCCAATGATAAGCCCTTGGAGGAAAGGAAGACTAGTGCTGAAGAAAATCCTCTCACACGAATGACAGCCCAATGATGGATGTGCTAAGAGCCTTCATATCCCGGCAACCTGGTACCTGGACCCTCCACCAGGTGGGAATACAGCACGCTCCAGGGGAAGGGGACCGTGGATGTATCGCCTGGCGCCAGCCCCTCGCTTCTGCGGGTGAGGAATCAGAGGCTGCATGCCTGAGTTCGTGCCTACGTTCACCCGAGAGCTTCTTGGACCCAAGTCCAGTATTGTTTGTGTCAGCACCCTCTTATCTCAGCCAAGGCCATTGCTGAATTCCACAGCAGAAAACTAACTGGGCACACAGATTCGATGCCGCTGCATTTAGTATCTTCTCGCTGCCCCAAATGCAGAGAGCCTCCTGCCCCCTATCAAACTTGGAGGATAAATGTCCTCTTTGTGCAGAAAAATGAGTATGGAAGGTGGGAGGGGGGACGTTATCTCAACATGGAAAAATGGAAACTAGCCCTAGCTGTTTTGGCTCAGGAGATGGAGCACCAGCCTGCGGACTGAAGGCTCCCAGGTTCGATACTGGTCAAGGGCACATGCCTGGGTTGCAGGCTCGATCCCTAATGGGGGGCATGCAGGAGGCAGCCGATCAATGATTATCGATGATTGTCTCTCATCATTGATGTTTCTCTCTCTTCCTCTCTGAAATCAATAAAAATATATTTTTTTTAAAAAGAAAAGAAAAATGGAAACTAGCTTC